ATTGTGAAGAAAAATGTGGAGATTGGGGAAATATTTGAAATTAGGATATCATGGTTTTTACCGATTGGTATGGCATTCAGAATTGAAATGTCTCGCACCAGCTGGAATCTGCAAAGTGAAATCTTTTTATCAAAGTAATTTTCAAGGCAATTGTTGTTTACAATTTAGACTTTAAATGTTCCACAAATTCCGTCGCCCAAGATAAAAAAGTTGAGATACATAAAGCATGCTTTCGAAACTAAGAAATAGGATTTTGACTGAAAGATAACGGATAGCACAAATTAAAATACGTTTACTAACATAGAAAAGACTAAAGAGACTGAGGCTGTTGTTGGTCAGGAAGTGAGGAGTGTTTATGACAGAACAGTGTGACGGTCGATATAAAGCAAAAGATGGAGGAAGGAAACCGCAATTGTGATCGATTATGAAAACCGAATTGAAAACTGCAACGATCAATAGGGGGTTAGTGTTGAAATAACTTAAAAAGTGATTTTAAAACACCCTTGAACCCTTTTGGGATGAATTAAGACAACCCAGCAGAACCGAACACAAATGTAATAATATGTACTGTGATGTATTAGTAACAGAACTCTTTGCCACTCCCCCCAGAAAAAAGCGCCTCCGCCCCCGCCCAAAAAACTGAAAGTATGAAAAAAGAAAAACTGGAAGCCGCTCAGTTTACTTCATCCCAGAAACTGCCAACGTTAAGAGCTAGAGCGAAAATATCGATCTCGAAATTGCTTGAAACCCCAAAAATGAAAACTCCAATAGTTCCCACAGAGAGGAAGGGCTTCTTACAGCAGTCAGTATCAGAGGGGTGCACTCTTTTTTTTTATGCATATACCTGAAAAAATCCAGTGAATCCATCTGTGACTTGATCAACCCGAAAGGTGCCTGGTAATAACGTAAAATAGAAAATTTAACTGTTAACAAGATTATTTGGCAGAGGCTTCGGAAGATTTGTTTCTTATTTAGTTTCTCAATCTGTTTGTGTTTCTTGTTTGCAACGTTATGTTTATCTAAAACGGAGCAATGGAAGTTTAGGAGGAAACTGTAAACGATTACCGCATGCACTGTATTTTCCGCTTGCGCGGCGCCTCCTAGAAGTTTAACAAGGGATGCTGCAACAAAGGCAAATAGTTTTGCTTGCCCACGACTGCAGCCACATCAGTGGGGCCGGGGAGCCTGTGGTCCCCCCTGTTCTGAAGTCGACTGATAATGATGAAGAATGATGAAGAAGTAGAAGTACATGTAACGTAGAAGAGGATGATCAATTGATCACGGCAAGTTTGGCAGGGACTAAACGTAACACTGGGCCTATGTGGTATTAATAAAATCTTTTTATTCTGGCAGCTAAAAGGGACAGTGACTGAGAGTATGATTTTATATCTACGTAATTTCTCCAGAAAGAATTATTACATTCAACAAAGAAAATCGTTATCTTTTAATTGCAAAACTTAAAGGTACTCTTATTGTGAGACAGGTTAAGCCAAAGGAAAAAATTTTTACACGTTTTGCAAGCATACATCTTAAAGTTAGTAATAACCGATAATCCAATTCAAGAAGAATTTTAATTTGCACTTGTTTGTGCTATTACAGTTTTGGCCTTTAGCTTAATTTACCTTCGTGTGTAGCAATCTCGTGGATGTCATGATCCGATAATTTCCTGCATGGAACTGAAGTGTTGGTGAACTCAACGCAACGTGTTGAATTGTAGCAGTTGACTTCTGCTCTTAAAAGATGATCATTTCTGGAAGAACTGATGCTTGCAACGAGTGTCCATCCTCCACCTTAATTATGAAATGATTAAGAATACGTACTCATTGACTGAGTTAGGTCGGGCCCGACGGGAAACTATACTTGCTTCGAGTTCAGGTCGTACGGACCGAGCACAGCGAGTTCTGTGCGTCCTGATCAAGAGCAATTTTGTTCAATAATTTATAACAATGGTACTTGTAGATCAATTATCTCCCACAATTATCATAATAATTAGAAGGGGTAGAGCTAACAGAAGCTGGGGTATTATTTAGCTTTCGTTTTGATGCCTCAGACTGAAAGGCTCATTAGCGATTAATACTCCGGTGAAACCGTTAATAGAGTTGTACAAGGTGGCTCTAACTCTTGAGTCTGTTGGCTTGTGAATTCCTATAGCTTCACCATTCAAATAAGAAAGGGTAAAGCTATCAATCTAGCCATCCTGTGGTGCTGTTTTGGTACTGTATATGTTGATTTTCAGTCTGTGGATGGAATTTAAAGTGCGAACATTAACTGAAACTCCAAGCTGTAGTTTCTAAGCGGTAGTGTGGATCAACCCCCAAGCATACAAAGAAGAGCTTATTTAATTTATTCACCATGCATCCATTGCAAAAAATGTTTACAGGCTCATAATCGACTCCCACTGTACCATGTAGCTAGTAAATTTAAGAAGGACGAGGATAGATGAATAACAAATATTGACAACTGGTACATGATTTCACGTGATTGTACCATAATTGTTCATGTCGCAGTATACTTGTGCCTTCTTGCCTTTAATGTGAACCCAGTAATAGCTAGATTTAGCATCCGGGACAAGTTGCTGAATTTGGGCACATGATGTCTGAAAAACAAAGAAGCAAAAATCAGGCATTAAAAATTGCTCGATTTTAGCTGAACTGCAAGGACCTTGACCCCCCTACTATCATTTAGGGCCTGTTTACATGGAGGTGGGGGACCTCAGGTAGGTGGGGTAACCCACCTGTTCATATAATTTCTGTAGTCTTTCATATGGTCAACCCACCTATTATGTAAACGAGATGCCGAGATGCCGAGAGATTATGTGGACAGGCGGGTTACCTCACCTACCTAGTGTCCTCTACCTCCAGCATGTGAAGAGGCCCTTACAGGCAACTCTCTTCTTGTTAGAAACGGAAAACAACAGTTACTGTAACCTGCGATCGCGCGGTATTTTGAAGCCAGAATTTTGTGAATTCGATATATTCTTCCACACGAAAACAGTGGATTCGCTCGCCGAAACCGCATCTTTTTTAAACTGCCTTGCAGAGTGAATTTTTTTTTTTTTTTTTTTTTTTTTTTTTTTTTTTTTTTTTTTTTTTGAATACGATGAATTTGCGACATATATGAACGAAGGGGCCAATGTTATAGGTGAGTTAGGGACTGTGCAATAATTATCTGGAGGAGGGGGTTCTAAGATTAATAGGGGGGGCCTGAACTTAAACCAAAGCGCAGGGTAGGGGGGGGTAAGATGTAATTTCTTAAACATTTGTAGGGGGGTTAGAAGTTAAACTGAGAGGTCTGATCTCAATCCATGGACTCAAGATAATGTATATTACATGTAAGCTAATCAAAATCAATTTTTGGAATCTTTTAAGAAATATTAATATTAACAGCTTCAAAACCTTGTACTAAAAATGAACAGTTTATCTCAACAATATTAAACATATATTCAAGAACTTGAGTTAAATCCCGAGTTGGTTTTGAACAAGCACTTCCGCTTCCCCAACGAAGCATTTACAGGAAAGCAAGTCCCTCATGACTCGGCGCAGAACGAGGCAGAACGCACTAATGCTGCAATTGGAGAAGCTCTTACGACATGGGCTTCCTACTGCAAAATTGGAAAGAATGTGCTTGAAAGACATAGAACAACACTGCATTGCCTGGGAGGAAGCAAATACTTGGTCAATGGCCAACCAAATTGCACAGCGCATTCATGACGAATCGGGTCCTGGAAAGAATGACTTCCTGATCTCCCTTGCCAGCTACCATCCGGAAAGTCACATCCTGCTTCATCTCTCGAAGTACCTTCTTAAATGGAGGAAGGCTTCTCCACAGCAACGACACAAAATATGCGGGAACGGAGTTTTTTCAAAGCTTCAAAAGATGAAAGATGCCCATGTGAAGCAAGGACAATACTACCTTGAGTACTTGAAGTTTTCATGTGACCCAACCTGCGATGAATGCGAGGAAGAAGGTTGGACAGGTGGCATTCCCATTACACGATCTCCATTGCCAGCCCTTGATCCGTCCTCGCCAGGAAAGTATCTCCCAGTTGATGAACCTCGTTTGGCTCCAAGCGAGGTTGACAGTATCCTTCCTAGTGTACAAGTGAAGAAGATGTTTGTTGAAAAGAAAGTGACCTCTTCTGATAACCAGGCCATACGGCAAGCATGCTTAAAGCTTAACATCGACGAAAGTTCTTGCAGAAGATATCTTCAGCACCTTGAATTCTTGGCTCTAAAAGCAGACAAAAGAAATCTGGAAAGAAACACCATTCCAGAAGATATTTGTTGGGAGAGCAGAGACGATGTTGAAAGACTGACTAACAAGCAACTTCGGCTCTATCTAAGGCAAGAAGGTCTAATGGTATCTGGAAACAAGGCACAATTAGTTGAGCGAATACTTAAGCATGCAGATGGTTCTGTAGCAAGAACATTTGATGAAGACATCGAAGATGATGATGAAAACATGCCCTCCAGTTCTCATGATGATACCTCAAGTGATTCTGAGGAGGAGTCAACCGAGTATGAAGGTGGTTCATCAGGCGACGATTATGTGGAGCGCAGCTTCCAAGTTTTATTTATTGATGATGCAGACATACCAGAAGTAGTGTAAAGGTAAAGAGGGATGTAGGGAGGATCGGAGGTTGGGGAGGGGGGGTTGAAAGTAATCTCCCCTCTAGACGGGGGTGGACAAGAAGTTATTTTAACTTTAATTCAGGGGGGGTGCAACTTTATTTTAAGGCCTACTTTGCTAATTTTAGAACCCCCCCCCTCCAGATAATTATTGCACAGTCCCTTATAACTGAGTTACAAGTTAAGTGAACTATTCAAAATCGGCTTGGAAACGATCTGCATTGATTACATTATGCCCTCGGGGCTTATATTTCGGAATTTTACGGTATTCACTGCTAGAGAAAATGCAGCAGCGTTTTCGTGTTAAGTACGTCAGCAAAAATTATACATTTCAATTATTTTAGAGAATATTCTAAGAAAACAACCATCAGAATAACTTCATGAGCACCGAGAATTACGCTTAAGGAATGTTTTTATTTTACCTCTTAGTGCTCCAATTGTTTATTTAATGAAAATATTGTTTTCCAGGACATTTCAAAGAACAACTTTCCCACAACTCACCAGTTGGACTTTTGGCCAAGGATTATCCAAGTACACATATCCTTTGGCAGAAATTACATCTTGGGGAGCAATATGGACATCAGCTTTGTTTAATTCACAGAGAAGATTGACCCAATTGAAGTTTATGCTTCGGCACTGTGTTTGTTCGTCGCAGATATTGATGCAGCCTACCATGCTCCCAGCTTCTTTTACCAGAAACGAATGTTTCAGTAAACGCATTTTTGGTAACGAGGACGTTCCATTGCATCTTGGTTCCTCACAGCTCAGAACGGAGCGAAAGAAAAGGATAAATATTAGAACTGCAAACATTCCTAAACTGCAGGCGAAGCTTAAAAATAGCCAGGTCTTAAACCCACAAATTGATCAATCCCTTTGCTTAAAATTACACGAAATGTCGATATGCAGATTAAGGTCCATTACTCTTAAGTAATAGTCCTCATAAACTATTCCATTAGCTGTCATTTATTCTGGGATTTGCAGGATGTAAATGCTATGAATATTGAATGAAATCACAGTAGTGATGTAAAAAAGGAAATAGAAGCAGAAAATGCGTAATGTAAATTATTGATGTCGCAGTTTTTAAAGACCCTTAATTTTACTGAACCACTTCACGTAGCAGCTCTTTTGTTTTAGAGCTGCTACTTTCCGTTGTTAACTTTGTTAATGTTTATGATTTCCTACCTAGCCAATCTTGTGAGGATTGTTTTGACAAGTCTTTCTGTATCTTAAGTCACATTACTAATACCCTCATAAAGTATTCCATTAAACATAGCTCTTCTGGGATTTAAATGACTTGGCGCGTCTGTTAAAGAAACGGCGCCGAAATCAACGTTCTCGTTTTCAACAGAAGCCATTTTCGGTGCAATTTTCGTGTCAGCGCAAGAGTTATCCTCAAAAGTATGAGCATATCCTGAAGGGCAGAACTTCCTTAAATTACACTATGAGATGTTCCGTTTGGAACTGGAACGAGTTAAATGATATCGGGCCTATATATAAGATCCACCCCATGTAAGGAAATCCAAGACCGTCCTGGATTCTGGGTTGCACATCGTGGATTCCCGATTCCAGGTACTGGATTCCGGATATCTTTGCCAGTGGACCTTGGATTCAAGATTTTAATCGTTAGCAGTCCGGAATATCCCTAAATTTAAGGACAGGGCCAACTGGTCACGCGACACTTTTCAACCAATGAGAAGGCGCGCTTGTGTTTGTCAACAAACAAATCAAAACATGGCCCCAGTGATCAAAAATTTTCAAAACAACGGACGGAGTCGGACAGAATTAAAGATGCGCTTACAGTACTCGTCTACGTTTCACATTTAATATTTCAAAGAAAACATTTCATGTAAGAGAATAAGAGCATTAATCATTGCAAGGAATCATTGGGGTGTTCGAACTGATTCCCGACCGATCGAAGAGGTCGTGGCTTCACTAGCATGGCTTGCAAGATTTTTGATAGAAGCAAAACTGGTCCCGTGTAAAAATAGCCTTAGAGTGTGGAAATTTGTTGAGATCGTACAAAACAGGATTGGTACTACCTATTAACTTCTACAGGACAAGAATCAAAGAACCAGTCATCATAAGAAGAATAGAAAGGAGTTCAAATTTATTAATTTTTCTTGTTTGTTTTTTTGTGTTTTTTCGTGTTGACTTCACGCATCTGGTGCTTTCGTTGCTTGCTGTAGTACCTGCAATGTTTTAATTTTATCCCAGATAATCAGTGCATGTTCAATGAGTAGCGAAATACATCATTTACAATTGAGATTTGCCTTCTTTCTTTGATTGTTTTTTAACGGTGGATGAACATTTGGAGAATCCAACAACATAAATCTTTCCAGATTAGTGAATTTCAGAAACAAAGCAGTTAGTATCTACCTTGCGCTTATGATCTTCGATTTCATGCCCTCAAATTCGGCAAAGTGAGGCGAGATGTTGGACGTGAATATCCATAAGACTAATAAAGTTGTTTTGGCCTTGAAAAAAAAAAAGGCAAAGGCTCGTACTAATTTGAAAAAAGTAATAACACGGCTCTGTGAGAAACCCGGGAGTGGAAAACGTGCGTGTTTTGGACCTCGGAATTCAAAAATTGTCTACCAAAATTCTAGGTTGTCTACCATCCCCACATTTGACATGATAAAAGTTAATCGATATGACAATCGAGGAAAAATATCTAGAACTTCGTAAAAAATCTGCGAATCGAAAAAATAATAGATACTTGTTCACCTACCTTGAAAACCGACTAAATTCTCGCCTGCCCATCGCGTTGTTTAAAAGATAAAAGAAGAAATAAGTCACAAAATGTGCTGAATATTTCCCGAGACACTTCCAATATTGCTTCCAATACGCTGTCCACTTAAAAAAATTGTGTATG